ACTGAATATACCACGGGCTGCCAGGCAAACAGACAAATCTGTCTTAGAAGAAACACAGAAAGTATGCTCCTCAGAAGGAAGGACGGCAAAACTTTGGGAATGCCACCGGAGGGACCAATAGGATGCATAAGGACATGATGCATTGCAGTGTAGAAGAGCAGAGGAAGACTCTCAACAAGATGTAACCACACAGTGGCTGTAACCATGGCTTCCAAGAAAAGATCGTGAGGATGGCAAAGACCAAGCAGAGTTTTGTTTCGTTCTCTTATACCCATGGCCACTGGGAGTCCAAATGGACTCAACAGTTCCTGATGCCAACAACAAGGACATGGTACATAGCAAGATTAGACTTATAAGTCCACGTCTGATGCCAACAACAAGGACATGGTACATAGCAAGATTAGATCTATAAATCCACGTCTGATGCCAACAACAAGGACATGGTACATAGCAAGATTAGATCTATAAATCCACCTCTGATGCCAACAGCAAGGACATGGTACATAGCAAGATTAGACTTATAACAGGGAATCTTTCAAATAATGAGCTTTTTACAATTAGAATGATGAAGTAAATCTCAATTACCTTGAAGAAGTTAAGTATACTTTATTGACTATGAAAGAACATAATGTTCTTAGATAAAATGATCTAAGTCAAATGATCTGTAAATTAGAATGCTTTATGGACGTAAACCATTATAGGAAGTATTTTTATTGCTTAAATCTAGTGTTTTAAAAATTGATGGGAAATTACAAATCACACACATATATTTGTTATTTGTTGGCAGAAGGGAAGGTATTACTTTATATTGGAGGTAGGCTTTTTGTAGGTAGGCTTTTAGGAGAATCTCAAACTATTTTGCTCACTTAGCCATTCTTTTTGGGCAAACATTCATGTGTTGATTCTCTTTGATCCTATTATTGGCTAGTCAGAATGATATACATAACCTTGCAAAGGATTTTTATGTCTTATTACTACTTCTCTTTTAATATTATAAATGGACTGAGCCCTATTGGAATAAGCAAAGAAGAAAAATATTTTCCACATGGTTATTAATACTTATATATATAAATTTTCACATATGTATTCACATGGAACAAAATGAAAACAATCTTGATGAACACATCTTAAAAACAATTGAACAAGCTCAAACTTCCAGTGTCTCTTTAGTCAAGACAGCCTTTATGTTTTTCAAAAGGAAATATGTATATCTTTAATGGAGATCAATAAGAATATTCCATGTCACATTTTAATTTATTAAATAAAATTTTCTAAATAGTTTTTAAAGCACGTTGGGTTGGTTTTGATGAAATAAAGTGACAAATGGCCCTTTCTGCTACACTCCGCAGCAGACATTTATTGACAACAATTGCCTGGATCTTGCAGTGTCAGGTCCAGGAGCAGATGGGATTTAGGTTCCTAATGCAGGATGTCCCTGCGGTAGACTGCTCGTTACACATGCCTTTCCTGGGGACAGTTTGGGCTGTTAGAACTGCACTTGAGAGGAGCCTGGTTACTGTTTCCATGAATATGATAAAATGGTGTTTATCCTCCATTGATCAATAGTGTCTTGTTTGAATGGATTGAGTCATTTAGAGACATACAAGGTAATGAAAACGATTAAGCAATTGTACCCAAAGTCCTACCCAGCTATCGAAAGGGATGGTAATATTCGGAAGGACAATTATTGAAACACATCTTTCACATCAACCTAGTCTGTGGTGAAATGAACACACCCCAAGAAAGATTACCTTCTGGACTTTTAACAAATATTTTCCCTCAGTGACTTCTCTAAAACAAAAGTATGCCCGTAAAAAGAAATAGAATAGGCTTCATATTTATGACTAAGCTAACTTCATACTTTAAAAAATAGTGTCTGGCTTTGGTTTTGGTTTGTTTGTTCCTGACAAAGAGGAGGTAAGGCGCCAGTCTGGACCCTGTGAGCAGTGTTTGGAGTAGTATATGAATAGGAAAATGGAAATGGAAAGATGGCATTACTTTACCATCTGTGCTCCCACTGTGCACCAGGAGCATGCTTGACACTTCGGCTTTGTAATCTCCTTTAATCCAAGAACTCTGCAAGGCAGATTTGACTTCCACTTCACAGGTGAAGACTCTGAGGCTCCAAGAAGTTAGACAACATGCCCAAGGTTATGAGCCCAGAGAGCCTTGACACAGAGCTGCCAAACCAGCACTGTCCGAAGGAAAGTCTGATGGCTTTTCCCTATGATTACGTTTAAAATGCTTAAAGACAAACAGAGACCTTTTAGATGCGAGATAACTAGACTATAAAGACACCTACATGTTAAGGCGATGATTTTGCTTGTTACTTGTGCTGGACATGGGCTACACTGATGATTTGCTCCTAAACTGTGCTCTGAGGAATGACAGTTCTGAGAGACGCTGATAGATGTTCCTGGAGAAGATGTTCTGTTGGGAAGTAAGCCTGGGAAACAAAACATTGCTAGATTCTTAACTATTTGCAATTGAATGAACACAGCCACACAAAGGACTACTCCCCTGCACATGTGAGCACAGTAACATGGCTGTCCAGCAGGACGCTGCAGTCAAAGGATCAGGCCATGGACCGTGGTCCTGCCACTTGCTAACTGGGGGATGGTGAGCCTGTTTGGTAGCCTATCTGTGTCTCAATTTCCTCCCTTGTATACTATTACAGTATTCGTGTCTACCTCATGGGTCGTCATGAAAATAACGTGATAATTCATGGACTGCTTTTAAACTGGACTTAGCCAAATAGTGTGCAATACATGCTCACTAAATGCCTGTTAGGGTTCTTCTTCTTCTTAGACAAAGCATTCACGCAGTATCAAAACCTGCCTAAACTCGTCTCTCTTGTCCAAGTGCATGTCCTCGGCCTCCTTGCCAAAGGAGCCACTCGTTGCAAGACACTTATCGACATCATTGAACGCAGTGCAGGAAATGTTGATGTTTAAAATGACATAAACCACCGCTATGTATTAGCACAATTGGAAATCAGAATGGAATGTCCAGTGTTTTCAGAAAACCTTGGGGGCGGGGCGGTGGGGGGGAAGCCCTCAAAAATGATTAAAGAATTAAAAAATAAACAAAATATACCAAGACTGACGAAATCCTGGAGACTGTGGCCCATGGTCTCTGTTCAGTCCCACGTTCAACCTACAAGCCAGCAATACAGAGACAGTCCTATACGGTGAGCAATAATGCAGGGAGGTACACACGCCTTAGAGCAACCAGCAATACAAAATCAAAAGGGCATCCTTTGCCTTTGGCTAACCCTCAGAAGGCAGGAAGGCATAGGAAAGAAGGATGCATGGAAATAGGGATGAACAGGAAAGAACTGGAAAGCGTACCTACAATGTGGGTCCTACCATCAGTGTCATGAAACTAAATGGGCACAGATTTTTTTAGTTGAAAACCAACTTGCTCTGTAACCCTTCCCTCAAATCACAATAAAAGGTTCAACATTTACAATGCACAGGACAGACCCTACAACCAAATTTTTTCCTGACACAATGTGTCAGTAGTGACAAGGTTAAGAATGCTAATTTTGAGGAAAAGAAAAATAAACTTAAAACCAAACAACCATAGGGCAGATTGACTTCATCACGTGGGGTCACAATGAGCTCAAACACACTGGACGGTACCTACAATAGCAATATACCATTTCACGATGTCTGCCCATAACAATATGTTTAGTTTTCTTGCTTTCCTTACACTTAATAAACAATAAGTTGGGCCAGCAAACTATGTGAGCGTAGTCTGAAATGGGCAGTCTTAATCTTATTCCAGAAAACATGGCACTGGCAATGCACCAGAGTTAATGTAGGAGAGGAAGACTCACTTTTAGTTCGACTGCATTTTACTTTCCCCACCTAATGCCACTGCTTGCTCAGCACACATACAGGAGGTTTCAAAGAGCCCATCTTTGAGGCTCCCAAATTCTAATTAGCCTCGAGTTTACCAATGCATGTTTTATAGAACACGAAACCTGTCTAGTGCCCAACTCATGTTGTATTCTGAACAAAACGTTAGCAAAGAAAGCTGTTTACCTTGGAACTCATCCTTCTAGATCTTACTTTCATCATCATGGAACAATGGCTTACAATCTGAGAGAATGGGTGATTTCTTGTGAAAAGAAGATATTCTTGTTAAGTGTCCTGATGGATTTCTTTCATTAAAATACCATTATAGTCTGCTTGTGAATTATCTTTATGAAGCAAACAAAATGATAATGTAAAAGCATATCTACTGCAACACAGTTAGCCAAACCACTCTGTAAGGAAAAGATCTCAGGGTTAACACACTCAAAACCAGTCATTTCCACACCTGTCTTAACTTAGTTTCTTTTCTCCCCACTTCCCTACCTCTCTTTCTTCCCTTTCAGCCCCTAGAATCGAATGCAAAAGCTTTAGGACAGATATATTTTTTAAGTTGGCAGAATAATGATAGAGAACGTAGCAAGTCTTCACAATGATGGTGCTTTTCAGGGGGCACGGTGGGATGGGGGTGCAGGAGAAAGGAGAGAGAGGAGAGAAATATTGAATATATGAAGTATAAAATATGGTAGGAATTATGATCCACACAGAGAAGTCAGAGTCTGCCTGCGAATGATAAGACCATTTCTCTCATTAATTACATGTTCTATTTCCTAGATCTAGGACAGGCAGGTAAAGACCGCTCTCCGTGCTGTCTGGCTAGAGCTAGATAAACTTCTCAAAACATCCGCGTCCCTCTTAAACCTGCCATGGTAAAACTAGCTGATAATAGCGTCAAACGTTTATTGAATCAAATTCATGACAATCCTCTCCTCTTGAGATGATCTGATCATTCCTTCTACTTAAGTTCCAAGTTACTTCATGAATATAAAGACCAAGCTGACAATTCCGTGGCTTAGGGTCTGTAATAGGAGAGCAAAGACTGCTGGCACTGCGTCCCCACGGCCACCACCATGCACAGGTTCATACAGTCAAAGTAGAAGAAGCAAAACGCATGGCCCGTACCTGAGTGATTTCAGAGATCCTCGCCCGGAAAAGGTGTCTTTGATTATGGCGAGTTCACCGTGCCACTCTGGTTATATTCTAATCATCATATCAAACTCCAAAGGTTCAGTGGCTTTAGGTTCGGTTTACAATTCCTGGGAGTTAAACTTTAACTCGCCCTGTCTTTTGCATCCACGTAGCCTTTGACCGGATAAATTAGGTCACTACAGCATAGACAGAGCCTACAAAATCACAGTTGTCATTTGTGTACAAAACTAAAACGAGGTTTGCAGCAAAAAGCCGTGGATAAACATACTATTTTGAAGCTGTTTTCCAGAGTTATGCATTTAAAAGGAACTCGTGGAGATTTGCCAAGCATTTTTCTTTATGTTTAACTCCTTTGCTTTCTGCTATGACAAAGAGCTATTAAATCAAAGGTAATTCAGGACAATATAAGGGGACTTCAAAAAGTTCATGGAAAACTAAAATGAAAGACAATGATATTTTTCCAAACTTTTTGAAGCCCCCCTCATATTCCTTTTTTCCATGTTACCCTTCTGATACTGTTAAAATATATGTCGTGAAATGTGGAGCTCTAGGTCAGGCATATAGGTAAATAGTAGCTTGCAAACCAAATATGCACAAAGCATTTATATAAGCAAGTAAGTAAGACCAGATCAGATAGTGAAAAAACATACTGCTTTTTCTACCAGCTGATCACTCCTATTTAAAGAAGGGGTCGCTGATTTGAAATTATAATACTCAGCTCTATCCTGGCCTTCTAGGCGAGCTGAGGGTACTGTTCCTTGCTTGAAATCCCAGTGTGGGGATGCTGTGTTCTCTTGAAAAAGAAAGAGATGATATTCTCAAAGCTATACATTCATTGGTAAGAGCTCCAGTCCATAGAGTAAACCCCTAGGGGTAATAAAGCTCTTTGAGAAAGTAACATGCAAAGTCCTCTAATGTGAAGAAATTTTGGCTTATGGGGTTACGGAGTTAGATGACCCTCCCACTGGGTTCCAATCCCAGTAAAAAGCATCTAATTTTCTAGGAGCCAACTATTAAGAGAAGCATTTTGGCTAGAGATCACACGACACGAGCCATGCTTCTATAATATAGATACAGAGAAAGAATAATCAAGTAGCCACCTCTGTGGATGTAAAACAGAAGACAAAACACCACAATGCTAGATTCCGCACTGTTGGCAAGATGGCGGGCAAGCTACCAGACTCTATAATAAAGACACAACGAACTGCATGAAGCAGAGACGGATGATCATCCTGGAACCCCGAGCTTCCGAGGAAAGGCTGAGAGAAGTGGATCAAATTCTGACTGGGAGAAGAACTGGAACAAACACAGATAAGCCGAACAGTGGATTTCAGCGGACCCGTCACGAAACAGCCTGATAGCCTACCCTCCTCTCCCAGGACCAAACAGCTGGCCACACTGGGGGCTGGCAACCAGCAAGGTGTGGTCTTCCCCTGGCTCCACACACCCGCTCAGCCACCAGAAGTGTGTCTTCCCTCCCCTTTACCTACCTGGTTGCTAGTGACACCCCCGTCCCCCTCACCAGAGGTCAGAGGTGTGCCCTTGTGGACCGAGCATCAGATGCAATCTCCCCTTGTGTTGGAGGCACCCTCCCTCACCCTCCTCTCCTCCTTGGGCCAGCAAGCAGAACGTGTCGTGGAGATGTTCCTCTGCCCCCAGCCAGCCAGTTGGCAGACAGGAACTACTTCTGGGGCCAGGTACCCTGCCCACGGCCACTCTATGAACTGGCAGGCACTCCTGGGACCATTTGACCTGACTCTAGCCCATTTCTGAGTCATTAGGAACTCCCTCTAGGACTAAGAATCCTATCCTCCAAACCCCGTGTCCTCCTCTACAGGGAGAGCACACCAACCCACTGTGGGTGGTCTGCCCTCTGCCGCTCCCTTGGCTGGCAGAAGCATCAGCCACATGTTTCAGAGACAAAAGGCAACCTCAGTCAGAACTTTGAAAAGCAAATCAGGCAAAAACCAAACAAACCAAAACATCGACAATATCTACCCAAAAGTTGAACTACTTAGGAATAAATCTAGCCAGAGAAGTAAAAGGTCTTTACGAAGAAAACGACAAACACTATGACAAGAAATGTATATAAATTAATGTATATCAGTAGACATATCTACAGGTCTACTGATATAAATTAATATTAACATTAATAAAATTAATATTAAGTTATATACGGATCTAAATTAATGTATTATATATCATGCTTATGTTTAGGAAGGGTTAAATTGTGAAAATATCAATACTATTCAAAATGATCTACAGATATATTGCAATCCTGATGCGGATTCCATCATTGTTCTTTAAAAATATAGAAGTACTCATCACCAATTTTATATACAAAGACAAGAGACCCTGGGTAAGCAAAGCACTATTGAAAAATAAAACCAAATATGTGGCCTTATACTTCCCGATGTTAAAACGTTCTATATAGCCACTGTACTCTCACCAGCCTGGTATAGGCACGATGACAGACACGCAGACCAATGGAACAGAATTGAGGACACAGAAGTTAATCCATGCACCCATGGACAGCTGAAGGCATTAAAGGGGGGAGAGTTACTTTCTTTAGCAAAACTGGATATCCGTTCGTGGAAAAAAGAAACAGAACCTCTGTCTCACATTGTGTAAGAAAACTAACTGAAGAAAGATCAAAGACTTAAATGTGAAAGTGAAAGTGATTAAAACCATAAATGAAACAAGAGGGACAAACTCAGGGTCCTACTACATGATGTCAATGCCGGCCCAAATCTAACTGAAAATAAATGAGAAGCAGAAGACGCACTAGATGACTGGGCCTTCCCAAAACTTAGACACTCGGGCATATTGAAACATTTCACCAAAAGAATAAAAACAACATCAACAGACTGGGAAATATTTCTGTCAATGACATTGGATAAGGAACTAATCTCTAAAATGTATAGAAAATTTCAACAGCTCAAAGCCAAGAATCAAATGATTACATTGAAAGTGGGCAGAGGACATGAACTGACAGCGTTAGGCTGTGTTGTCTAGAAAAACAAAACCAGTGACACTCATATTTGTTTGTTTGTTTGTATCAATCTAGTTTATTAACTGTCCAGATTTCACAAGGTTAGGAGGCAATTGAAAATACCATGGCTTAAGTCAGACACACCTTAGTATTAAAAGTGACTTTGCTTTTTAACATTTTAAAGACATCCTTTGCAGCCAAAACAACTTAAATCTAAGCTTGCTGCCAGTGAGTCGATGCGGACTGATAGCGACTCTGGACAGATTACAAGTGACCTGGTGGGCTTAGCTGTACCTCTCTGCAGGAGTAGGACTCCTATCCTTTTGCAGCAGATGTGTCCAATATAATAATTGTGTCATTTCTTGCCAACACCACCTGCCATTGCTGTTTATTAAGAATGTAAGTAAAGTGAAGTCCAGGCTCATTTCACTATTTTCTCTGGTATCCTTATATTGCCGATTGGCCCAGTTGTGGGGGTTTTGTTTCCTTTATGCGGAGTTGTAAGATAACTCGAGGGGTGTCGTTTTCATCTCCATCAGCAAGGGCTTCAAGTTCTCTTGGTTTTCTATTTTAACTCCACCCTCTTGGTTTTCAGGGACACCGATGGTATCACCTACATAATGCAGGTTGTAAATGAACTTCTTTCAATTCTCCTATCACATTCTTCTTTGTATAGACCCGCTCTTAGGTTGTTTGCTCAGCATACAGCTTTAAGCAGTAAGGAATATAGCCCTGGTGCACACCTTTCCTGATTTTAAAGTATGTCGTGTCCCTTGTACTATTTGAACAATTTCCTTATGTTCTGTTTACATGTTCGACATGAGAAAATTAAATATTTTAGAATTCTTGTTATTCATAATGATATCCAAAATTCATATAATCCCCACAATGCAATGCGTAGTCAATAAAACATAGCCATATTTCTAATGGTCTATGCGTTCATCCAAGATTCATCCTCTCTCTCTTAACATCAGCAATGATATCTCTAGCTCCACATCTTTTTCTTAGCTTGAATTTCTGGAAGTTCTTTTTTGCAATAATTATTGTTTTTTGTTATCTCCAGCAAAATGTGTTTGCATGCCATACTAATGATATTGTTAGATAATCTCTACATTCTACTGTATTATCTTTCTTTGAATGGGTAACACACATAGATCTCTTCTAGTTGGTTGTCCAGATAATTGTCCTCCAAATTCTTGGCATAGATGAGTGATTGCTTCCAGTATTTCATTAACTGAAACATTTTCATTTGTATTTTCTCAATTCCTGGCACTTTACTTTTCGCCAAGGCATATAAGGCAGCTTGAACCTTTTCCTTCAGTACCATCAGTTCTTGATCATGTGCTGCACCCTGAAATGGCTGGACTTCACACCAATTCTTACTGGCGCAATGCCATTCCCTATTCCTTCCATATTCCTCTGGAGATTTCCCTGTTGTTCAATACTTTGCTCACATAGAATCTTTCAATATTATAACTTGAGGGGTCAGTTGTTTATATAGTGCTTTTGCTTTGAGAAATACTGAATATGTTAGGGATAGAAAAAGAAAACGAGAGAGAGATTGAGAGAGAGAGAGAGATTTATAACAGGAAAATAGCTGGCACAATTTTACAAGTTAGTAAATTGTATCAGAGTTAACTTCCAAATCTGTAGACCACATGTTAATCTGGAAACTTCTACTGATGTGCGTACTTTTGGGAAATGAAGAAACCAAGATTGACGGAAGATCACAGGCTGATGGCTGTGGAGCAGGAGTAAGCCATGGTCAGTAGGCCAGGCTTGTAACAAGAGAAGCAAATAAATTCAAGGTCAGTAGGGCAGATGGCAGATCATATAGCAGGCCACGGATGGCTTTTGGGATCAGCAGGCAATATTGCAGATGTTAGCTCCCATCTAAGAACCAGAGCTCAATGGGCCAGATGCAGAATCCAGACCCAGAAAAAGCATGAAGCCTTCCACATGCCCTTTTATATAGGAAGTGGATCACACCCCAGAGCAAAATTTCTTCCATTGTATCTGGTGTGTGACTTTAGTAAACCGGTTGCATTCCACC